TTATACTGCTCCAAGCTTTCAAAATGAAGTGACTGTCCCTCAATGCCCAGGAAAACCACCTTGCAGGGAGCAACACACTACTACAAAGTTCTATTAATCATGTCTTAAACCATTACCATCTTAAGCACCATTAATTACTGTGTGGACTAATTCACCTAAGTTCTAGCTTAGTTTTAAACTCATTTTTAAGTCTAGGAAGTTAACACATAATATGCTTTAAGCATTTCTTCAGCTGCTGAGTAGATGGTGGAATAGAGTCACAACAGATATGTGCTCAAGATACACAAGCAGCATGGTCTTGAGTTGTAGCAGCAGAGAAGAGTGTGTGTAATTCAGGGGACAGATGATACAGTATTACTTTAAATAATCTCTCCTTTTAATGCACACAGGCATGCTCCAGAAGAAGCCAAATGCCAAAGGCATGTAGGTATTGGTGGACAGCAGCTGGCTGGGACATTCTACAAACTTCAAGTTGGAGCCTCACCTTGTACCCGTTGTCCTCCTTCCGGTTGTGGGATGCTGTGATCATCACTCCAGCCACAGCCTTGAGCTGCTGCACGGCATAGGGCTGCAAAGGAAACCCAGAAACCGTGACTGAGCCACGAGTTCTGCAGCTGGCACAAACCCCATCGTGTTGTTAGGAGAGTTCTGCAATATGGTGCTATTTAACATTTCTCCACTTTCTCTGAAAATGATCTAGGTGAATGCTCATCATTCTGTTTCCTGCTGCTAGTAACAGAAAGTCTGTTCTGTTCTGTTGCACAGGAACATTATTTACAGCTTACATAAGCACAGTTGTAACTGGCCAGCTAAAGAAAGTCTGTGCTTGGATTCCACTAGTACTTGAGAAAGAGGAAACAGGTTGAAACAGAATGAAGAGATTCACCAAAAGACTTGTTGAAAAACAAGTTACAGGTATTTGCAGCTAAAAAGCATCCAGTTCTTTCAGTCCTCCCCTCAAGACAAGATTCACAGCACACTAGAAGCGCTTGCAGAAGAGAAATCATGGATTTCTCCAAGGTGAAACACGATTCTATCGACTGTCCTGACAGTCCATTCTTCTCCCAGCCTCCTTGAAGAGCCAAGTGTGCCAAGCAGCAACTATTTTGCTGTTTAAATAACAGAATTTGAGAAGAAAATTACTAGTGGACATTTTTAGTAAACTTGCAAAGAACCGTGTGGCTCAAGGCTAGAAGAGGGAAGGTGACTCACCACAAACGGTGTAGGGACGTAGGTGGAAAAGAAGTAGACAGGTACATCTTTAGCCAGCAGAACTGCTGCAGTGAGCTTTGCAAGCCTACCAACAGGAGAAAGAAAACATTCCGTCAACCCCAGGACAACCCGTGGCTGTACAGCATGACTGTGACCTACCCTGCACTCGTTTCTGAAATCCCTCTGCTGGTTTTGGGCTTAGTGTAGTATCCTGCAGTTTGGCTGCTCAGTGGAATACATTTTTCAGGCTGTAGAATCTGAGACGGAGCTTTTATTTGTTGCTTGGTGAGCAAGAGGCACCTGAGCCAACCACATAAATAAACCAGTGATATCAAGCCCAAAGAGACAGAACCGACTGGTGTGACATTTGTCCCTCGCTCAAGGACAGGACCAACCTCCCAGGAAGTGTAAAGCACCAGATGTCTGCAGCAGCAGGTTTGGAAAAGGATTCAGTAGCCCACACAGCAAAGTTCATCTGCCAGCTTTCTCCAGTGGCTTTGGACAACGTCCATGAAGCAGATCTGGCCCTAAAACATCCCCCTGCAAACCAGCACACTCTTACTCTAGAGAGGTTAGGAACAGTAACAGTAAACAGTAACAGCACGTGTGGTTTTAGACCTCACCTTTAGCATAAACCCTTTTTTTTGCCAAGCAAAAACAAAAGTTATTTTCCTACAGATAACTCTTTGAGATCAAACTGTTCTTTTCAAGCTCAGCAATTACAGGGAAGTGTCAGAGTCAAAACAGAAGAGAGATTAAACAGTTTGCTTTGCTCACTTGTTTTAACAGACAAGCATTAATACTTGCTTCCTTATCTCCCCTCAGAAGCATTCTGCAGCCTCAGTTTTAATTACCCAGAATTTCACTGTAGCACCTATAAAATGTAACCTAAAAACACCCAAAAGAGTTTCAGAGTGCACCTCGTAGCTGAAGCTACTAAATTTTGCTGGTACATCACAAGAGTTTACGTCAACTTAATGCTGGCATACAGGCACACCCAGGTCTGTCACCTCCCTTGACACTTGAACTGAATCCCCAAATCCCAGCATGGCCCCAGCCTCTTGCCCCCTGGGGCCCTTTAGCTCTTGCTCAGCCGTGATCAGATCCCCTCTGAGGCTTCTCTTCTGCAGCTCAGCAGCCCCAGGGCTCTCAGCCTGTCCTGGCACAGAGATGCTCCAGGACCCTCAGCAGCTTCACAGCCTTCACTGGACTCTCTCCAGTAGCTCCTGGTCTCTCTGGAACTGGGGTGCCCAGCACTGGACTAAATACTGCAGAGGTGGCCTCACTGGGCAGGGTAGAGGAGGAGGAGAACCTCTCTTGACCTTCTGGCCACACACTCTTCTTCATGCACCTCAGGAGATCATCTGCCTTCCAGAACCCATTGCTGACTCATGAAAAACCTGTAGCTCCCCCAGCACTCCCAGGTCATTCTCCTTGGAGCTGCTTTCCAACAGGTGAACCCCCGAGTTGTACTGGTCCATGGGCCTATTCCTCCCCAGGGGCTGGACCCTACACTTGCCTGTGTTGAACAGATGCAATTAAAGGGGGGCTCCTGCTCACACAGTGCTGTATAAGCACATTGATCCAACTGAAGATACACTTTGGGGAATATTCAGTTTGATTTTAGCACTGCTGTAACTGTGTCATCCCAAGGGGACAAAAGAAATGTAGCTGAGAACCAATTCTCTCCTTTGGCATGCGAGACACTGCTGCCATCAGGTCTGAATTCCGAGTTTTGTGTGGCTGAAAAGAAATGCTTTTCTAACACTTCTACATTTTTTAAGCTGTGCATAACCCAATCAGTTTGCAAATGCAGTGGAACAGGAGTATAAAACCCTTATGCTGAGGTCTGGTGGACAGTGTGACACACGTATCTGAAGATCAGACAGGAAGGTGTGGAGAGGGAGACTGAGGAGAGTGGAGGAACTCTTGGAGTCATAGAATTGATTTAGTTGGAAAAGACCTTTAAGATTATTGAGACCAACCATTAACCTAACTCCACCAAGTCCACTGTCTCTTGGAAGACAGCCACTATATTCTGTGCTCTACTGTAGAACTTTCACATCCCTAGAGTATTAAATGTTGACCAAAAAATGACAAAAAAGGAACTACATTACATAAAAAGCAGCTAACTATATTAATACCATTAATTAGCTACGCCTTAGCTAAATAATAATTAGCTCCTGGGTTGGCTTTTTTGTACAGCATGCCATCACAACACGTGTTTTACTCTCCAGATGACAAAGGATTAGGATTCCTTGCAGAATTAAGGAAGCAGTTGCTTTACAGATCCTCTCCCCCTTTTCCTTGCTGTGGAGTAATGACTGGAGACAACTTAGAAATTAAATTTCTATTAAGGGTAGGGCATCGTTGATACATTAAGGAAAGGTATGATAGTGAAGAAGCTTCCCAGGTGGGGTGCAGCCTGAGCTGGTATGCAAGGAATCCATTCCATGGTGGTTCCCTGGACAACACTGCCTGCAAAACAGCATGGAGGGTGGAGTGGTCAGGGAAGGTAGCACCGTGGACAAGTCAGGGAGGTTACCATCATGAACAACTCCAGAAGACACCATTGCAGACAACCTCTGACTTGCTGCAACACAAGGAGGTTTATTTTTGGCCAAAATACTCTACCTTGGAATGCAGCACTTGCAAAGGGCACAATTTGGCATCACTGGAGGTTGACATTTTCAGCATTCCAGGTAAGATCTTCCTAATGTGGCACAGAAGTTCATATTCTACTCTACTCCACTCTGGTGAAACCTCACCTGGAGTGCTGGGGCCAGGTCTGGAGCCCTCAACACAGGAGGGACATGGACCTGTTAAGAGTGGGGCCAGAGGAGGCCACAGAAATGATCTGAGGACTGGAGCACCTATCCTGCAAGGACAAGCTGAGAGAGCTGGGGTCATGCAGCCTAGAGAGAAGGCGGCTCTGGGGAGACCTTCTGGTGGCCTTCCAGTACCTGAAGGGCCTACAGGGAAGCTGGGCAAGGACTGGTTGCAAGGGCGTGTAGCCATAGCACACGGGGCAATGGTTTTGAACTCGAGCAGGGGAGATTTAGATGAGACGACAGGAGGAAGTTCTTGACTATGAGAGTGGTGAAACACTGGACTGGGTTGCCCAGAGAGGTGGTGGAGGTACCAGCAGGTTTGATGGGGTTCTGAGCACCCTGCTCTAGTTGGGGATGTCCCTGCTCAGTGCAGGGGGTTGGACTAGATGACCTTGAAAGGTCTCTTCCAACCCAAAGCATTCTATGATTCTGAATTTACCTTCACATTCAAATTTCTCTCTGGGTCTATCAACTTTTCAACATATACCCAATGCTCTTGTACATTTAAGCTGTAAATTCTGTGGTCAAGTGACTCGCCTGACATTCCACATTTCCTGGCAACTGGTATTACAACAGCTTTAGTCCATATCCATCACTATTTAAATGGAGTAAGGGAGGGCAAAGAGTGTCTGCAGCTCATGACAAACATATCCTGATAAATGGAATGCATTTAAAGCCACAATTTAATTTCTAGTCTTGCAAATGTAATCAATACTCATACTTCTTACTGCTGCAGTTGCTGGTCACCTGACCTCGTGTGTCATATCCAACAACAAAGCCCCTCTGCTTAAAGTCTGAAAAACACCTCTCAAGGTATTTGTAGATCCCCTGGAAAGAAAAAGAAAAATAAAGAAGAATTAGCTCAGTAAGTAGCCAAACAGAAGCATAAACAGAACTCTCAAGTCAGCAACACCCTCAAGCAGCAAACACTCGGCTTTGGATTGTTTTCATACTCTGCTTTTAGGTATCCAAAATGTGTTCTTAAAGAACCAAGTGAGAAAAGTCCACTTTTTGAAAGTCCATCCCCTGAGGCAATATAAACCTTGTGATTGTCAGCACTGGTCTCCATCCCTGAGTTCCTGCTACAAGTCAGACACCTTTTCAGAGCTGTCTCTAAAGGCTTTGTTCTAAATTGGCTTAAAAAGATGTTTCCTCCTCATCCACTTTTTCAAAGAGCAGCTTATCACTAGTGAGCAGCTCCACGTGGACAGACCATAGAGTCATAAAACTACAGATTCATTAAGGTTGTGAAAGAGCTCTAAGATCACCAAGTCCAACCATCAACCCAACACTACCATGACCACTAAACCATGGCCCCAGGTGCCATGTCCACACATTTTTTGCACCCCTCCAGCACCAGTCCAGGGGACTCCAGCACCCCGCTGGGCAGCCTGGGTCAAGGCCTCACCGCTCTGCCAGGAGAGAAATTCTGCATCAGATCCAAGCAAAACCTCCCCTGGGGCAATATCAGCCCAGTGCCTCTCAACCTAATGCTGGTTATTTGGGAGAAGAGCCCAACACCCACCTGGCTCCAGCCTCCTGTCAGGGAGCTGTGGAGAGCCAGAAGATCTCCCCTGAGCCTCCTCTTCTCCAGACTAAACACCCCCAGGTCCCTCATCTGCTCCTCACAAGCCATGTTCCCCAGGCCCCTCCCCAGTTTCGTTGCCCTTCCCTGGCCCCGCCCCAGCCCCTCAAGATCTTTCTTATCCTGTGATGCCCAAAACTGACCCCAGCCCTCAAGCCGTGGCCTCCCCAGTGCCAGTACAGGGGCACAATCCCTGCCCTGCTCCTGCTGGACATACTAGTTTTGATCCAGGCCAGGATTCTGGTGGCCTTCTTGGCCACCTGGGCACACGCTGCCTCATCTCCAGCCGCCTGTCCACCAACCCCCCAGGTCCTTTCCCTGGGGCACTTTCCAGCCCCTCTGCCCCAGCCTGGAGCGCTGCAGGGGGTGGTTGTGATCCAAGTGGAGGACCTGGCCCTTGGCCTTGTTAAAACTCACAGAGTTGACCTTGGCCCATCCATCCAAACTGACCAGATCCCTCTGCAGAGCCTCCCAACCTTTGAGCAGATCAACACTCCCATTCAATTTGGTGTCATCTGCAAACTCCCTCAGGGTGCCTTGATTCCTTCATCCAGATCATAGATAAAGTTGCTAAACAAGATTGGCCCCAAAACTGAGCTCTGAAGACACCACTTGTGACCAGCTGCCCACTGGATCTAACTCCATTCACCATCATTGTCTGGGTTCAGCCATCCAGACAGTTTTTAATCCAGGAAAGAGTCCGTCAGTCTATGCCATGAGCCACCAGCTTCTCCAGCAGAACGCTGTGGGAGATGTTGTCAAAGGCAACTTTGACAATTTACTTACTGAAGTCCAGGCAGACAACATCCACTGGGTGGTTAGATGAGAGCCCTGGTTTTCTACACCCTACAGATACAATAGCACAAATACAAGCTGTCTGCTGTAGATCAGAGAAGATCACTTCCAACAGGAAGATACCAGAGGAGACCCCCATGCAGGGAGAAGAAAGGGGAGAGGGAGTCAATTTTTAAAGAAAAATAGTGGGGGTGAGGAGACATGCTGAAAGAAGAAAAGCAAGGAGCCTCTTGGTCAGGAACTCCTTCTTTGCAAAACAGGAGGAGCTAGGAGCTCTTTGGAACAGTGCATTACATGATGTTCCAGCTTCACCTTCCCACCCATTCATTCCCCAGTTAGAATCCCTCTGGAGATACGTCACTGAACCAACCCAGGATGGATCAGCAGTTTGAGATGAAAAGATGACAGCGCTGTTTTTAAAGGGAAGTTTCCAGAGGCTACAGTTCCCCACAGCCCAAGCACAGCCTTCCCCAACACCAGTCCAGCTCCATGAACCTACCAGAGCCAGGCTTATTCTGAAAGGGCTGTCTCTTGTGGGGGTAGAAACTTCCTCTTGAGAAAAGGGCTGGCGGGTGTTTTGTACTAGAATTGAACAGATTTTTCCTCTTTTAAGTGCAGTTCTTTGCAATGCCCTGCTCCAGATCTGACTCAATAGCACCAATGAGCAATCTCTCAACTGAAAAGCTGACATGAAATTCAGTTGAGCTCAATTTTTTTTAATGGTTATTTCCCTCTCCACTAACAAATGTACTTCACACGTGATCAAGTGGATACTGGCAGCTCTTTGGAGAAGCATTTCAGCCACAGATGTAGTGTTTCCATAGAGGGATCCACAGAGAGTGTGGAAAAAAACCCTTTCAATAAATAAAAATCTTGGGATACTGATAGAACTGGAAGCTGTGCCACAGTGTGGTCACCAGGTGAGGTCACCTTCACACCCCACTGAAATGTGGTGATGCACAAATGTATTCATGCCACCCCGACAACTCAAGAATTTTCATTCACAGTTGTCAACAGATAAGAGAGAGAGAGGAATGGGGAAAACCTGTTCAAGTTGTGCTGGAACACACTGATGAATATTTAGAGATGGACAACAGATTTCTGATCAACGGGTCCTTACTTAGACAAGTGGTAATCGAAGATGGGAGGGCACTGATGAGTTTTATCTGTACAAGTTTCTAAAACACCAAGAACCTGCACAAGCAGAAGATGTACAGAAGCAGGACCTTGTTAGACAAACTGCTACTAATTAGAAGCAGAAAACAGTGGCATAGAAAGTTTTTCAGGAGCAGCATGAACCAAGGTAAGTTCAGAACAACTGACACTCTTGCCCACCTAAGAAAGTCAACACAATAAAAATGACAAGCCTCTACAGATGTAAAGGTGTTACATGGGATTGCTTTTCCACACCTACCCTCCAGGAGGTCAACAGTGGAGGCATCCCTTGAATGTTCCAGGAGCCCTGGAAACTCTAGGATTCTGCACATCAAATTTCTTCCTCACCCCTTGCTTTTAAGTGCTTGAAATTAAGACAATGTGATACACAGTATGAGATCAAAATACCTTTAGCTTAGAGATCCCACAGCTGACATCAGTCCAGTCCTACTGGACTTGTACTATCCAAATATCTTTGCTAAAGCTGCAGGAAGTAACAACTTCCTCACCCCTCTTACTCTGCAGAGGAATCTGGACAGGTTGGATCAATGGGCCAATGCCAATGGGATGAGGTTCAACCAGGCCAAGGGCCAGGTCCTGACCTGGGGTCACAACCACTCCCTGCAGCGCTCCAGGCTGGGGCAGAGGGGCTGGAAAGTGCCCCAAGGAAAGGACCTGGGGGGTTGGTGGACAGGCAGCTGGAGAGGAGGCAGCGGGTGCCCAGGGGGCCCAGAAGGCCACACGGATCCTGGCTTGGGCCAGCACCA